GGCCGAGGTCAGTGGAGCCTGGGAGCGTGGAGCTGGGGGTCCTCGGCCTGTATTCCGGGCCCCGCCCCCCTCGCTTCTCTCGTGATCCCCAGCCTCTGGCCTGCCTGAGCTGCGGTGGACCGAGAATGAGGGAGGGGGGCTTTACTTTTATGCAAGAGCATGGGTTACTCTCAGGCTCTCTGGGCCTCCCCTCTGGCTTTCTCTGGCTCCTGATCTCATTCAGTATCTCTCCTTCCATCTGGATCATTTATCTGTCCTGTTTCTGTCCTGTCTCGACCCTGCCCTACTAGCTTAATCACCTTTGGGCAGGTTGTTTGACCTCCCCAACCTCAGTTATGTCACCTGCAAAATGGGCTAATAATACCTAGTACCCTGGGAAGTCAGGCCGGCTAACTGAGGTCATGCATGTGAAAAATGGTGCAAGCTGTACAGATACAAACGATTATTTCTTTCTCTCTCCTGAGCTGTCTTTCTTTGAACCTTGGTATTTTTTGCTGTTTCCATCCTCCCCAATTCTCCCTGCTTCTCTGCCTTCCCCATCTGTCTTCCTTTCTGATTTTCTACTTCAGACAATCTGTGGCTGTTTATTTATTCACTAACATTTCATAAGCGCATACTGTGTGCCTGGACCTGTGCTAGGTTGCTGGGGATTAGCTCAATGAATAAACGAAGACCCTGTGCTGTGGGAGTGCTCAGGTCCAAGAGAGGGCAGGGTTAAAGTCACTGCAATTCTAGTAACAAGTGATAAAGGCCATTGTCCTCAGAATGAATTCCTCTATCTCTGTTCCAGAACAGGACCTGGGAACCACTTGAGGACCTGTTAGGATTTTATGTTCTAGCCCCCACCCCTGAGCTTTCAGGCTCATTTGTGCAATCCTCAAATATTCACTGAGCCGTCCTTGTGCAAGGCACTTTGCCAGGCACTGGGGATGGGACAGAACAAAGCATGCGAAGACCTTGTCCTTGCTCAACTTACGTTCTAGTAGGTTGAGCTTAGGAATGTCCCCTATCACTGACCTGGAGAGTGAATCCAGGGGTACTCTACCACTGAGTGTCAGCCCTTTTGTAAAATTTTTATTTTGAGACAGGGTCTTGCTAAATTGGCCCCACTTGTGATCCTCCTGCCTCGGCCTCCTGAGTCAATGGGATTACAAGCCTGGGTCACTGCTCCTGGCAGGAATCTTCCTTTCCAATTGGACCTCTTAAGGCAGGTGGTCTTTGGACCACCCATTGAGCGACTCTTGGAGGCCTTTCATAAATCAAGTTTCACTGTGTGTGTAGGGGTCAGGGCCATGGTGCATTCAGAATTTGGTTCTGTTGGAGGGTGGCCTGTCCAGCCTTCCCACCTCTATTAGCTCCCTCAGGCAGCTCCTAAGAGGTGAGGAGGGGGGTCTGGAGAAGGCTGAAAATGGGGTAGTTTGTGGAGGGGGCTTCTCTACATGTCTGGCACTTCCTTGTTCCTGTCAAAAAAAAGAAAATCGAGGCACCTAATACCTTCTCCCTCACTCTTCTTATCACGATATTCCTTTACCATTGGGCTGGGGTCTAAAGGGACTCAGGGTCCTCATATTGCCGGCCTTCAGCCCTGCCTGTACCTGCGCTGTGTGCCCAGCACCCCGCCCCCACCCCAGCATCCTCATAGACTCCGTCCACCTAACACTTACCAAGCAAGACATGGTGCCAGGCTGCGGGAAGGGCATCAGGGCTAGAGAGGGGGTTGGCAGCTCCTCCCTGAAAGGTAAGCTAGTGGCTGGCTCCCCCCACAGAAGGAAGCCGTGCGCTGTGGGCGCTGAGAGCTCTTGACCTCTCTGAACTGTGATGAGCCCAGCTGTCCCTTGCGCTCTTCGGCGAGATTTACCACTCTGGGGCACTCAGGCCTCCCCATGCTCCTCCATCTCCAGTGGGTGGGAGAGAGGCTGGAAGGGACCTTCGAGGAGGTACACCCCGACCTTCACGCCCCAAGTTGTGCTGTGCCGTCACCCCTCAGCCCATGCCACCCTGTGCCCACAGGCTGCTTCGAGGAGACGCTGTGGTGGAGCTGGGTCTCAACGATTACCTAGACATCTTCTGCCCACACTATGAGAGCCCAGGGCCCCCGGAGGGGCCCGAGACCTTTGCTTTGTACATGGTGGACTGGCCCGGCTACAAGGCCTGCCGCGCAGAGGGGCCGAACGCCTTCCAGCGCTGGAAGTGCTCGCTGCCCTTTGCTCCCTTTGGCCCCGTTCGGTTCTCAGAGAAGATTCAGCGCTTCACACCCTTCTCCTTGGGCTTCGAGTTCCAGCCTGGAGAGACTTACTACTACATCTGTGAGTGACCAGGGGCACGCCGCGCACCTATTGGGAAAGCTGGGGAGAGGCCTGGGCTCCCCGCCTGTGCTGCGGCCCAGGGGGAGGAAGTCCTGCTGCCCAGGACTGAGCAGGGGGATAGAGTGCGTCTGTAGCAAAGAGGAGAGACTTATTAGAGGAGCCAGGAAAGAACAGGGTGCTAGGGAAATGCAAAATGGCATGGGTGGGGCTGCCACCTGAGTTTGGCACCAACCGAAGTGAAAGGTTTCCTGGGACAGGAGAGAGGGAGGCTGGAGGGTCGACAGCAGCCTAGGGCATAGGAAGGGCGGTTCCCCGTGCTAACTCCTTTCCTCCAATTTCCCCCCAGCCGTGCCAACTCCCGAGAGTCCTGGCCAGTGCTTGAGGCTGCAGGTGTCTGTGTGCTGCAAGGAGGGCAGTAAGTGGGCGTGGGGGTGGGGAGCAACCTTCCGGCGAGGAGGGAAGGAGGGGGGAGAATCTAGGAGCATCAGGCTCTCAGGGATCCAGGTCCAGCTTCAAGTTGGGACTTTTCTCCCATGTTTAGCACTGTGGGAGCTTCTGCTGTACCCCCTTTTTTTTTTAGTCGTAGGTGGGCATAATACCTTTATTTTATTTATTTATGTGGTGCTGAGGATCGAGGGCCTCATGCATGTGGGACAAGTGGTCTACCACTGAGCCACAGCCTAGCCCTGCTGTACCCCTCTTTAAGCTGGGCTGCGGGAATGGGATCTGC